ATGGAACAATAAGATTAGATGTTATAATTTTAAAGTGGGGATAAACATATAAATAGATGATTTACCAAAAAACTTTTCAGTTGGGTTTTACATTTTGGCATGTATACAAATTTTTGAGCGCATCATGGAAATGATATTGGATGTTCAAGGTTTCAAGCAGCCAAATAATCAGTTTTTAGTGAAAGAATTGGTGACTATTACAATCCAAGATAATAGTGATGGTATGGAAGACATTTCAGTGATAATTTTTGAACCGCCATATCAGTGGGAATATTTACCTGAAAAATATGAATGCATAAATTCGTGGTTGATACGTAATTATCGTGGCATTCCATGGAAATCTGGAACAATACCATATGATAAACTTCCATACATTCTTCGTGTACATGTTAAAGATCGAGACCGTATTTACGTGAAAGGAGATGAAAAGAAAAAATGGTTATAAAGTTTAATTGATAACTCAAAAGTTGTAATTAATTTGGATTAGCTTGGATGTCCTTCGCTACATGTTCTGGATATGAATTATCTAAGAGATTGTGGGGTGCATAATGGAGAAAATAAAGAATGTGCAGAAAAGAATGTAAAAATTCTAAAAGCATGGTATATGGTGAATTTTCGTAAAAAAACCCCATTTGAGAAGTCATTCAAATTGGATTGTTTCTTAAAAAATATAACAAAAATGTCAAGTGAAGATATTGCTTGTCTTCCAAAGTATTTTTTCTTGAAGATTGTTCCAGAATACATCGACGATATTTGGGATAAATTACCGGAACATTTACAACTCGATAGAGATATCTTATTGCATCGTAAATGTTACAAACATTACATGTCATTAGATCATACAAGAACATTGAGAATTAATTGTATTGATTGTAAAAAAGAAAAATTCATTCATTTAAATACATAAAATGAAAATGTATAATTTTTATTTCTTAAATAAAAATTCTTTCTCAAGATTAAAATCTTATTATTATTGTTAAAGAAGTCATTTAACGTAAATAATTATAGATCATAGTTCAGAAAATATAAAATGAAAAAAGATAATAATTTTTCGTTTCAATAATTTTTTTACATTTAAAATACGTTTAGTTATGATTACTCATACAGTAAATAAAATATTTCAATTGATTATTCATAATATGTATTCTGTCTTACTTCAATAAGTAAAAGAGAATGAGAGCATAAACAAAGTGAAAAAGAGATAAGGGTGAGGAAAATATGATGCAGTCGACCGACTGAGTCAAACGTTAACGTTTCTAAATGAAATAAAATAAGTCGATTATTTTTTGACACATGGCCCTTTTAACTCTTGCATAAATCACAGCTTCTTAGCGGAGAATAAAAGTATAGACAAAGTGAGGAAGCGGTGGCGGAGCGAGGAAAAGAAGATAGCAGAGGCATGAGTGACAAAGAAAACACATTTAATTAAAAATCCAATCGAAAAAATATGTGTCTAAAATTATTTATCCATAGTAGAGATCGTTGACAAACTATTTTAATAATTAAAAAGAAAAAAAATGTCATTTATAAATTTTTTTTTAAGAGAATTTTTTCTTGTTGTCAAATTCTTTTCTTTATCTGTAATTTGATGTTGAATGATATGATCACGGCCTCTCTATATAGATTTAAATCAATATCGTTCAATGATTTTTTCACCATTGGCCTCTTTGAAAAATATAAACATTTAGCCATGGTGTATAATGCATAGGACAAAATATTTAGTTCATTTTCGACAGTCAAACTGATCAAACCATACCAAGTAGTGACTTTTGCTTCATTCAAGTATAAAAAGTGTGTTTTTTTTTTAATTTTTATGCATTAATATAATTATTTATTGAGTGTAATTGTGAATTTTATGAATTGTTAAATGATAATTTATCAAGTGGGAGAATTTTTCTTTTTTTAAGTTTGAAAACAATCTATCATAATCGTTATTACTTTTTAGAAAAAGATGTGCACTTTTATTTTTCTGGAGGCCTGGTTCGATCTACCGATCACCCTCCTAGAAATTATTATTCTAATGACACTTGAAGATCATTGGGAAAAGACGGGAGGGATAGAAGGCGCTACCCTTACACTTTATGGCGTAACGGCTACACTGTCGAAGACAGTGATAGTGAGGTAGAAGTTCTACCTCCTTCTCCAGCGACTGTGTCATCGGAGGATAGTGAGGTAGAATTTCTACCTCCTTCACCTCCAACAATTGACGACGATGATAATTATGATGATGATTCCACTGACTATGATGATGGTTATGATACTATAAGTCTTGTTTTATGATTAGTTTTTCTAGTCTTACTTATATGAAAAAAGTTATTAAAGCAAATAATTTTGATTCCTACAGGTAGATTAATGCTACTTGGGAACCATCATTCAAGGGATCATTATTTTTTTATAAAAAAGAAAAAATATATTATAATTTTTTTTTGAATAAAAAAAAATGGACTTGAAAGAGACATTGTTTTTACTCTAAAACCTTTTCCCAATCATCTAACATCCTTGAGACACATCACCGCCATTTTTTTTCTACGGTTATTTTTCTGATAATTATAATATTATCGCTGAAGATAATTTATCACCAATCAGGATCGGTAAAAAAAAAAATCGCTGCCGATAATTTATCAGTGTCGATAACTTATCGCGGTCGGTAACTTATTGTCAAAGTTATCGCGGTCGGTAATTAGTGCGGATCAGAACCCACTTTTTTGACTTGGTCGGTATTGCAGAGTGATCCAGGACCGGCCCTGCTTATTTACTATGCGCAATACCATAAAATGAATAACCAAGCCCTTTAATGTGAGCACACGCGCAGTGTGCGTTACTGAGTTCATCGATATAGAGCATTTTAAGAAGACGATTAATTGCAGCAATAGCCGATTTGAGTATTTCCCGTTTATGAGTTTTTGCGGCGACAAGGGCTTGGCCAAATTCTCTTACTGCGTAACCTCGTGAACTGGCATTTGTGGAGTAGAGCTCCTGTAATAACAGTATGTCTAGTTTCTTTCCTTTCACAAGTGCATACGCTTTTTTGTAGAATTAATGTTAAGATAAAGGTTTAGTCAAAAACTTAGTCAAAAGACGAAGTTCATCTGTTATTCTGACGTTGGCATTCTTTGCGATATTTTAGGACGGCGTTTGACTACTTGGAATCAGGATAATGCTTTTGCCGGCTTTGTTGTCTTGTGGTCGCACGTTGTAATGCTTCAATTGGTTGCTATGTTATTTGCCTTTGTACCCGATGCAAATCTGCAAGATAGACTGATGCATTGCCATATTCGACCTACCGTTAATACACATTTTCGGGTTGCTAGTATTTCTATATTTTAACACCTTAAGATCATGCATCTGTTGATCAGTGCATCCCTAAGGTACTACTAATCTTTTTCATTTTATTTATTGTTTGGTGAAATTTTCCAGCCCAAACGAAGTGATTATGCAACCATAGGTCGATGCATCGCTATTCATGGTTTTGTTGTGAGATTCTCTACGGACACAAATCAATCAATGTGATAAATACACACCTGTACACTTACACTTGACCAACACCAGAGTGGCATCTTTGGCCCAAGGGCGATCTTAGCGCATCCTCCCATCAGAAACTTAAGAGCGGCCTAAATTTACCCCCACTTCTTATAGATATCCCTAGGTAACACCTTACACATAAATCCACCTCCTCCTCCCTCTCGTGTCTACAACTATGAGAATTCTACAACATCTAACTTTTTGATGACGTCACTGCGGCCGAACTCTTATAGCATAACTACTAACAAACAACTGAATTTCCATTAATCGTTGCTGAATTGGAACATAAAAAAACTTTTAAGATTTTTGTTTGCATTTTATTCACAACCACAAGATAAAGGTGAATTTTTAAGACTTTACATTATAGTTAAAATGTATATCAGCCTTTCTTTGGCACCGATTCCACAGGCACCCGGAGACGTCTGTTTTGTCTGGATTGAGAATCCTTCAACAAATAAAAATCACTGAGGTTTAATTGTGTTCTGACTTGGAGGGCCTTGAATCAGCGAGTCTGAACATATTTGAAAATTGTGTAATGCCGGACTTGTCCACCGGCAGGTCAGTCAACTCACTGGACCAATCGTCGGGAAGTATTTCCTTCATGGCCCAGCAGACAACTCTACGGCCCTAGTGACGCCAACAAGCACGTGGTCGAGTACTTGTGGCGTCAGTTAACTCCAGACAAATCACGCGGTTGAGTTAGTGTCTCATGGATTAACGTGAACAAGTATTATCAGTCTACACAGTGCGAGTGGTCCAGGAAAAGCAGTTTTGTGTTTTTAAGTGCGGGGCTGTGCTGGCGTTGACGCCGTAGTGCCTCACGGACAGTCACACGTACAGCACACACCCGAACAACTCCGCTATATTGTGTGCCTGTCGCTACATGCTGTGTGAGATCATTTTTGAGGTTCTATTACTCAGACAATTTTGTTAGTGAATTATATGAACAATTAATGGACAACTCACAAACAATTAGTAATTAATTAGATACACAGTCATAGGTTAAGTGTTTTTGTTAATAAAAAACCCAGAAAACCATATTCTTTCGTGCCAGTGCAATTTTATTCTCTACACCTCCTCGCATCCAACCTTTTTCAATCCACCTAAAATTTTTTATCATTCATTTTTCAATAGCTGACTTAAAGTCTGAAAAACTTGAATTGTCTAATTTGCTTATAATGCAATTGAATTGTAAGTGAATTTAAGTTATGCTATCTATTAAATACTTTTTATAATTAATTATTGTTATAGTCTCAAAAAACTCTTAAAAGCATTATTAACAGTGTTACTTTCCTATCTAGTATATCCGTCTTAAGTTAGATGTAGTACAACTTCTTCTAACATATTTTAACAGAATGGAATTGTACTATCATTTTTTGGCATTCAAACTCTGAAAAATATGAGACAAACTGTTTCAGAGAACACTATTCGCTATCGCAGAATTCGAAAGAAATTTTTTTATTTGTATTTTGTTCCAGATAATGGAAGATGAACAACTTGTCAGTTCCGATTTCGATATGAGTGGAGAGAATAGTAGACTTCATCTGTTACAAGAGCTGAAGCAGCAAAATTTCGACTCTATTCGTTTTGCATCATACCGTGTAGCTTGCAAATTGAGATTTATTCAGAAAAAAGTCCATCGTAAGTGGAAAATTATTCAGAGATTCGTGATTATATAAACTGTACCAAAAAACTAAACTCAAATTTTTGAAATAATTTTAGTTCACAATGTCGATATATGGAATATTATTGAAGCATTTCGAGAAAATGGACTCAATACACTAGACCCTTGTAGTACTATTGGGGTGTCAAGATTGGAAACACTTCTCTCTTCACTTTTTCATGCTTTAAACAAGCGAGTTCCGGTTTCTCAACAATGTAACATACAAGCGACAACAACATTGCTGTTAAATTGGATATTAGCAGCATATGCGAGTAGGTACGATGATTCAATATATTTTCCGTGTACGATAATTTACAACTATGAAAAAGTTCAATCGATTTACTCGAATGCGTAGAGACAATCTTGAATATTTTGTGAAAAAGATATGTTCTAGAAAAACCAACATAGTGAGACCGGGAATCAAACCGAGATTTTAAAGTTACGCGCTCTACCACTTCAGCCGTTCTACACTCGCGTCTAATTTTCTACTTTCCGTTCCTAAATTGAGCAAGACTTTCCTTACTCCACCGTCTTTCTTACAGCCTAAATTGAAGTATATGTGACAATATATGATGATCATATGAAAATCAGAGGTGTGAAACTTAACATTGTATTATTGTTTATTTATGGTTTTATTCAAAATATAAATAATAAAGAACATAAATTTTTTTGATTTATAAATATGGAAAAGAGTATTTATTTATGACTAATCGGAAAAAATAATGCCACAATAGATACTGTGATGAATAATAGCACAATGATGGAATAAACTCGTTGTCAACCTCTGACGAATTTTTTCTGTAGTATAGTTTATCAATGAACTATAAAACAGCCATTTCTTTATTTATTATATTTTATTTGTGAAATGACTACTGATTTTGTTATAATTACTTGAAATATTCTATTCAATATTTAATTTGAATAATCGGCCAACTATTTTTTGAAGAGACCAACTGCAATCGAAAGAGCAGAACAAACAGTAAATCCGTGTTTTTGTATACTAAAATCAGTACTGTAAAAAATGAGATTAAAAAAGCAGATATAAAGGAAGGAAAGTTTATTAAATTGACAGATGTGAATACAAAATCTTAAAAAATTGGTCTGAGAACACTTTGCCTGTGCTAACACGACGAACTTCCCAATAGTAATTATTTAGAGCAAATTTAAATAGTTACAATCAATGTTTGTTAAAAACATCTAAATACATGTGATATACACATTACTGATTTAATAAATACAATTTTTAACTGTTTTAACCAATTCATATTGTTACAAACAATGCATGTTTGATAAAAGTTATATTGAGTTGTGAACAAAAATGTCTAGTCAGTATTGACTTAATTTTCGAATGAAAATGTTATCGTTAGACTTAGAAGTATTTAAAATAGCTAATCTTTTCATTTTTTCATGAGTTATTTTGTTATAAAAAATAACGGCTTGACCGAATTTGTTTAAATTTCACTAAAATCTCCTTTTTGATAACATCTTCCCAATCAGTTTTGGTTACGTGCACACACACATCATTCTAAAAATTGGTCAGTATGCTTGCAAATATCATGAAACGTGGAGATATGATAAAAATTCAAATTTTACCAATCGATCCAATTTCAATAACTTCCGGATGGAAAGTTTAATGCACTGTTAGCTTTTATTTAGTCAATGTAAAGGGTGCAAAGGGTACATTAAAGAAAGTGTATTAATGGAAAACTTTAACATAAATTAAAAGAAAGTAAGAAAAGTGAAGTTGCTGGCTCCAAAAACGTGGTTACAAACTCATGTCAGAGAGCAAAAAAAGGAGAGACAGAGAGAAAAAACAGGAAGAGATAAAATGGAGCTAGCATGCTCTAAGAGGATCGGGACTCAACGTCCTCTGCGCACAGTCTCAAAAAGCGCCAAATACAAAATATCCAAACTTTAACAACATATTGATAAAACTTACGGATATACATTTTTTACCATTCACAAACTCGGACCTATTACTATAACTTCCCACTGGGAAGTTAATAACATTAACGACAGTAAACAAATTTACAATTTCAAAATTTTCAATTGTTATTGATTCATTGTTTATGGTCACAATAATAACCGAATAAAATGCGTTGTAATTAGAGACTAAATAGTTAATGATTAGTCAAAATATTATTTTTTGTTATCGTCATGTAAGCAAACATAGATTTAATTCTTATCACAGTCACTGATAAAGTTTTTTTGAGGAAAATTATTTCTGTAATTTGTAATATACGGATTAATCAATGCTAGCATTTTGAATGAATGTGATATATTTTGATTAATTAAAGAAATTGTAAAATTATTCGTTCGCATTCATCTTTAATACTGTAGTGAATGGACATTTATGCATCTTGCATTCATATTAATTTTGGTTAATAGTCATTTTTTTATATGTGTGTAAAACCATGTTCTCGAAATAGAAAAATGATTATCTTTGATTCTTAAAATTATGTAACACTCAATCGTTGAAAATAAAAGTTGACCCCCTTAATGTTATTCGGTTACTTTTAACGACATTTCAAACTATAAAAATTATGGAGACACCTGTAAATGGTGCTGAAATACAATTGAAAAATCACTTTGAACAAATATTATTGAATGCAGTGAATAGGTATACTGATATCGAAATGATAGAAGAGAATTCATTTGATTTTGAAAAACCATATAAGAATTGGGAACCAGAAATTATAGAAGACGAAGAATATGCATCTGCAACCATAAACCAACAGTACCTGATAAAGCATGTACTACTGATAAAGAAAGCTTGAGTCATAATTATAAATTGTGAGCAGTTAAGTATTGGCTAAGTAGTAAGAAAAAGAATTTGAGTATCGATAGTGTTAAGCAAAAATTCAGAAAAGTACAGTCTACTCGACAATTAAAACGCTGGGCGCATCAATTGAACCAAGGTTAAATATACGAGGAGAAAATAGATCAAATTTGCAAATATACGTTGGGAAATTTTAAAACTGCTAACGGTGCTAGAATGATAGTCCATGATTCCGATTTTGAAAAATGGGAATTACTGGTTAAAAAAAAATTACAATTCGATGATCTCTGTTTTCAAGCATCTTCAACGTGGATACTACCATTCATAAGAGCTCATCGTATTGTTTCTCGTAAAATTAACGAATCCATATCATCTAGAATAATTGAAGGTCGTAAAATATCAAAACAAACATTAAAAGTGTTCGTCAACGATGTAACATCGGAATTCAATCATATGGTTCAGATAACACATATAATGTTAATCAAAGTAGCTTCCAATTAGATGTACATTCAAATAACCAACGATATAAGCTGATGGAAAACTCCTCACTCTCCTCTTGCTTGTGTTAAGAGAACCAACTGGAAAACTTGGTCCACGGGTAGAAGCAACACTTTTTAGACCAGATAATGTACACGTAGAAATATCAAAATCTGGAAAACTTCCTTTAAGTGAACAATCTAATTCAAATATTATATCATATGATATATTCTGGAAGTTTATGTACTAATTTTTTTTTGAACACTTCCAAATCTAGTTAAAGGATATATTTTTTCCGAATGTTGAAAAAAAAAGTTTACTTTTTGTTGATTTGTAGACTGGACATCGTTATGAAGCTGTCACGTCTACCGAGCAATCGGATGAAGAAGTTGATATAATGATTATTCCTAATGGAACTACTAGACGAATTCAACGATTGGATGTTTTTGGGTTTAGAATATGGAAAAACTCTGTAAGACACTTTTCAGAGAGCGTCTTATTCCGAGCAGATGATTTAAATTTATATTTGAGAAATATTATTATCTAATAACAATCACTGACTCTTAATCAACTCTCGTTTCCACGATACATTAATTTTTTCCGTTATGCATGGTTTAAAAGTAGTTATACATTTATTAAACTAGATAAATTTGCAAATCTAGTTGATTTTACATTCGGCGATGACGGTAAATCTCATTTTAAAATTTCAGGATGTAAAAATATTGCAATGATTCGTTTTGCATAGTGTAAAAAATCATTGTATCTTGAACATTTTTTCAATGATTATCATATACGTGATACGTACAATAAATAAATAATTCATCTTCTCCATTTTAATACAAATCGGAGAAAGAAGGGAATATTCTTTTTAGTGTCGATTTCCATGTTATTTTAAAAATCGCATAGACATGTATCTCGTCATTTTTCATGCTCTTCCGACTGAAATTGGTCTCATTAAAAAATGAATAATAGTTTTTGAGTTATAGATTTTTTTGTTTTTCTTAAGAAAAGAAAAAAGTATATTCGCAAGTTACATAAATATGTAACTACAGGTATTTTTTATTATTTCTTATGTTGTTTTTAACGTATTAGGTCGTTTTGGAAAATTTCGATTAGAAATATGTGAAAATTAAAAATTACCTTTATAGGATATCAACTTAGAGGCACATTTTCACCCCTTCAAAATGTTTTAACGCCGGAAAAAAATACATGATTTATCATATTCAACATAGATCATTGTATAAGAACTTCAGCTAAATCGACGTTGATCACCTTGCGAGGTTTTCTTGTCAGTTACATACATAAAATATCAGTGCTCTGCAGTGGTCTGGGTGCGACCCGAAAGGTCCACACGACCAATTTTCCAGTGGAAAAAATAAAAAAACAATTTGAATAGAACCCGTTACCATTTTTTATATTTTTTATATTCATTTGATATGGTTAGTTACTTTATTTCAGTAAAAGAAAAAATTGTGCGTTAGAAGAATTCGAATGTACCTCATAGATCCTTTTTTTCATTATTTACAACGAATTTCATTGTTATACACGAAAAAAGTATGTTTTCATTTATGGCATACGGTTGGTAACATTTTTTTAGTAAACGAAAAAATTATGCGTTAAAAGTACTCATATATATAGAAAGGGTCCCTATTTTTATTGTTTATAACAATTTAAAACTTATTATTTAAATATTACTATGATCAATAATCACTTGTTAGTAACAATGTTCAATTGTTATGAACACAATTCCACATTATTGACAATTATTATTGACTATGATAGCGTCCTTAATGCTATTTTCTCCATCCCAATACAAATTTAAAATTTTTTTCATTGCTGATTTCGTTTTTCAAAAATTTTTTTTCCTATGAAATACTGTCATCATATTTCTGTACAATTATTCTAAACATTTGATATTCATATTTTTCAAAAGATCTCGAAATTCCGTCTAAAAAATGGTATAATTTATAAATTGCAGAATTTAGGTAGTTCACTATTTTTTCAGCTTTTTGGTTCTGCA